GGGGTGGGCGAGCATGGGGAGAGAAAAAGGAGGAGAGAAGTCAGGACTTCCTGCTCGGCGGGACGGAGGGAGTGCTCTGCACTGGGAGTGAGCTGCACCCTCTGGCTGGGTGTCTGTCTCCAGGGGGTCCTATGGATGGAGGCTCCACCCAGAGTCACGCCCTTCATTTCGTCCTGGGTCTGGTCTTTGGTGGTGGCACTGACAACTTGTTCAGAAACTTGGTGTTTCTGAGCTACATGGAGGTGAGAGTGGACGGGATGGATCTGGGGAAGCAGGTCTGGAGAAAGGTATAAAGATGCTCATTGCTCTTGAGGGCAACCGCTGGGCAATCTAGCTGGGCCAGACACGCAGTCACAGGAGGAACAAGCATCAGGGTCCACAGGCTGAGCCCTTGAGTGTCCAGGGGGCTCGAGGGAGGGGAGGCAGCCGTGCAGAGCTGCTTTCTCCAGGAAGCCATCGAGTGGAGGAGATTTCAGAGGTGGGAAGGGACCTGGGGATGTGGAATGAAGGTGAATGGTCCACGCCTGACTCAGAGGGACAGAGAACCTGTGGGTGATGGGGACAGCTGTTTTGTTTTGAGGGCACTTTCGGGTGAGGCCCCCGTACAGCAATCTTCCCTTCCCCCCATGTGTGTGGCCCAGAGCAGGTCCCCTGGCAAACCTGGCTGAGTTTGGAGGATGGGGATCCCCAGGAGTTGGTTTATTGCAAGGATTACTGGCAGTGATGGGGTTGGGGTAGTTGAAGGCTAGTAGAGAAGGTAGGGCCCCATCTTTCTGCTTGGGGTTCAACTGTCCCTGGTCCCACCATATGGCTGATGTCTCTGCAGCACTGGGATAGCCAGAGGCATTCACTACCAGGCCCCAAACTTTCCAATGTCTCCCATGGTCTGATGGCTGGATGGGTCCAGGAAAGCCAGCACCAGCTGGTCCTGTCTGTGACTGGCCTCCTGGGAACTGATAAATCCAGCTCAAGGTCAGGTGTCCCTTTGGGCCCAACCCTGGTACTTAGGCCTCAGAATTTTTCCAACAGCTGACATAGGAACAAAACAATCAGAGGGATCATCGCTAGGGCAGAGATTGGGTGCTATGGGGCTGGCCAAAAGGGGAGAAGAAAAAGAGCTGGTGTCAGAGTGGACCTGAGCAGAGAGGGGGTGAGGAGGAGTCTGGAGAAGGGAGGTGGAACAAGAGGGGGACTTCAGCCCTGGGACTTGTCCAGAGAAATATGGAGGCAGGGAGAACACAAGAGCTGCTACCCTTCTGGTTGGAATTTTCCACAATAAAATGCTGTTTGGAAGATGAAGGGCACAGTCATTTGGCTACAATCACTATGGTGGGTGAGAGAGCTGCTGTTGGGTCTCTGCTGGGGATGCTAACAGGCAGGATCAGAGACTGCAGCAAGATTTGCACATTCATGGCAGTTTGCATGGGTCCAGGTACCAGAGGCATGCAGCCTCTCACCTGGCTCAGGTATACTAACAGCTCAAGTCTGGGGTCAGAGATGGATCCAGGGGAAACTCCTCCATAAAGCTGCCAACACCTTTAGGGTTTTGAGAGCTCCAGGGAGTACCACAGGGTTGTCCTCAAGGAAGCCAAAGAGCTGAAGAATCAAGGATGTGACAAATGTGGGTTACACTCAGGAGAGGTCTAGAACGATGGGTGGGTGAGGTCTTAAAACATGGAAGGGTGATGGGCCCACTCACATGATAGGCAGCCTGAGACTGAGGTCAGTTCTATGTCCAGCAAGTTCTGGGCCTTCGAACATGTAAAGCAGATTCAGGAATGAAGATACTTTGTCTCATGGGACTTATTTAGAGGCCACTGAAGCGACTCCCTGGGTAAATGGGACTCTTGAAGGAGTGGGGGTTTCAGAGGTGATGAGGAACCGCAACTTTTCACCACGTGGTGCCCTCGTCCTTATCTGCAGCTTCCAGCTTCAGGGAGGAAGGAGCAGTGGGCTGATCAGACCCCTGGATGAGAGTGAGAGTCAAAGGGAAGAACAGGGCCCCTGACTGGAAGGAGCGAGACCCTCCCCAGGGCTTGTCTATGTTGTTTTGGGGACTGGGGTAGACAAACTCACTAATGAGAAACTGCCAAGGGCAGTGGGAACAAGCGGGAAAGACCTGGTTGCCCCTAAATACTGCCCTTTGCCCTTCTGAGCCCTACAGGATGGCTTTGACTGCCTGGCGAGGGGCAGAACTCTTAACTAGCTGGGCTTGTTCTTCCCTGTTCCAAGATGGCAGAGGATGTGTAGGACCAATGGGAAACCTGATTTCTGATGGAAGAGACCCACTTGAGAAACTCATCAGAGAACCTTTCAGGCATAGAGCCTCAGAAGTTTGTGTCAAAAACCTCTTGGTTGGAGTTGATCAGCTTCCTACAACACCCGGGCTTGTTCTTCTGGGTGGGGATCAGATGGCACTCTGGTGGCCTCCGTGGTGAGGGAGGCATCCGTCAGCATGTGGGTTCCCTGTGGAATTGAACTGGGAGATTTATGAAGGCTGCTGACTGAGAAATGCTCCTCCGCTTGGAATACCCAAGTCCAGGGCACCCAGTTCCATCTACATGACAACTGAGAAAGTATATCTGTTTGTTTGGGGGCTTAAACAGGAGAGACGTTTCTTTCTCTGTCATATAGAGGTCCAGGGCTGGTGAGGGGCTTGGGGTGTTTATGGAACAAGCTTTCTTGCACGTTATTGCTCCTTACCCTCTGGGAGTAGCTCTCATCCTCGTGGTTGCAGATGGCAGACCCTTGTTTTAGGAAACAGATTGGAGGAAGGGGTGATGGGCTGCAAAAGGCGAGCTCCAGCTTTCTTTCAAGTAAAGTCCCAGAAGCTGCCACAGCACACGGCAGAACCTGGGCATAGTGATGTGCCAGACCTACTCGCAAGTGAGGTTGGGCCATGTGGGTTTTATTTGGGGGGAGGGGAGGGAACCTGTGTCAGCAGGAGGTGGTGGTTAATGGAACCTGGATACATATGTGGAGATATCTTGACTTGAGCAACAGGACAGGGAAACAATTGATAGCATTTTAAAAGAAAATTTATTTTTGGCTGTGCTGGGTCTTTGTTGCTGCACACGGGCTTTCTCTAGTTGTGGCGAGTGGGGGCTACTCACTGGTGCTTTCTCTTGTTGGGGAGCACGGGCTCCAGGCACTGGGGCTCAGTTGCTCCGCAGCTTGTGGGGTCTTCCTGGACCAGGCATGGAACCAGTGTTCCTTGCATGGTGGATTCTTTCCTATTCTATTTTCTGTTGGAGTGTAGCTGATTAACAATGTTGTGATAGTTTCAGGTGGGCAGCAAGCAGACTCAGCCATACATACACATGTATCCATGCTCCCCTAAACTCCTCTCTGGTGGGCAGGTGGATTCTTTTTTTTTGAAGATTTGAACCTCTTGATTTGCATGATTTTGTGGGGTTTTCTGGGTCGAGTGAATAGCGCACCATTTTCAAGGGTCAGCTCAGGCCGCTTACCGGAAAAGCAGGTGGATTCTTAACCACTGGACCACCAAGGAGGTCCCTGAGAGCATTTAGAGATTTTTTTTAGCTCTTTATTTAGCATACATAGTATCAAGCTGGTTACCAAAATAATAATCGAGTTACTGTAACACTTCATTCCTGAAAAGTCACTCTTGACAGCCTCAAATCTATTGCGATTTGTAATAGGTTGAATTTTTTTTCTTTTCTGTTATGGTTTACTACAGAATATTGAATATAATTCCCTGCGCTATACAATAGGACCTTGTAGTTTATCCATTCTTTTTTTTTTTAACTTTTAATTTCATATTGGAGTTTCAGGTGAACAGTGAAGAGATTCAGCCATATATATATATATATATATATATATATATACATATACACACACACACACACACACACACACACACACACGTATCCATTCTCCCCTGAACTCCCCTCACATTGGCAGGCAGATTCTTAACCACTGGACCACCAGGGAAACATTTTGGATTCATGATGGCATTTTGGATTCATGTCATGTTCATATATGGCTTGCTTTGTTCTGGTCACTATTCTGAGTGTTTTATTTGTACTAACTCATTTAGTCTTTATGAGAATCGATGAGGCAGGTACTAGCAACATCACTGTTTTAGAGATGAACAAGAGAGGTTAAGTAACCCACGTGGAGTTGCCCAGAAAGTGGCTGAAGAAGGATGAGAACCCAGGCAGCCTAGCTTTAAAATGCATGCTCTCAGCTCCTTCCTGGGCTGTTCTGTCTGTCACTGGCTGGGGGCCACTGCTCTCGGCTTCTTCTTCTGCTGTCCTTCACTGGGGGATGGGGTGGCTTAGCAGGGCCACCCACCTCAGGAGTGAGTAGGTTAAGGGATGGAATAAGTTGACTGCGGGTACCATTTGCTGCATCGTAAGCAGGGCCAGCCCTGAGTGATGCCGGACCTTGCTCAGCGCGCAGTGTCTCAGCTCAACCTGGGGCTGGAAGCATAAAGCGGACCAGGCCCAGAAGCTGCCTCTTACTTCATGGCAAGCGAGGAGACTTGGGATTTTGCCAGTGTTCAAGGGGCAGGCTGGGGAAACCCCAGAAAAAGCGACAGATTGCCCTGAGGATGAGAAGTTTCCCCAGCGCAGCTCAAGGTGGTTGTGGACCATCATGGTAGGCCATAGGGGCACCCATAGACTGAACACGAGGATTGTGACCCCAACCTTCCAAGGAACAAGAGGTGAGGATAAGCCAGCAAGAGTCAGGTTGTGCTATGGGGGCAGCAGCTTCTCAGGCGGGGGATTGGATTCTGCTCTGCTTTGAGAAGTACTCACCAAGGGGTTTGGGGAAAGTGAAGGAACTTGAGTCTTTCCACACAGGGGAGGACCTGGGGTCGTGCAGAGGCTGTCTTAGGTGGCCCAGGCCATGGGGATGAGAGAAAAGCATGGGCTGGAGAGATTTCAAGGGGGGAGGATCCTGAGGTCTTGGACACTGACTGGATGTGACCAGGGACACGTGACATGGACACATTTTCTTTCCAGTGGCAGGAAGAGACGACAATGATCCCAAGTATGACTCGGGCAGCCACACCCTGGGAAGGCTTTCTGGGGGCAAGTCCCCACGTTGCATACCACGCTTCTTCAGAGAAGGCTTCCGGGCAGAGGCAAGGGATGAGCAGGCTCTGCTGAGGGTCGGGGCGCCCTGAAGCCTGCCTCCTGTCCTCTTCCAGGCTGCTAGAACTCGGGAGTCAAGGGGCATGTGGGTGGGCCCAGAGGAGCTCCCACAGCAGGTAAAGGGCATGGAGGTGTCCTGGGAGCTCTGGGGACCCCATCTGATAAGCGCAAGGCCTCCCACTCAAGTCTGAGCCTAAGGACAGAGGCCTCAGCAGGCCACAGACCTTTTCATCAGGCTGGTCCTGGAAGCTCTCCAGGGTCCCCAGACACCCAGACTGGGCTCCTCAATCACAGAGACCAGACCTGCTGGTCTGATGACTGTGAGCGTTTACTTCCTGGCCTGAGGGTATGCTGGTCAATTCCTTCCTCCTCTGCCCAAACTCTGGGCTGATTGACATCGGTGCCCCCTCTTCCTGCCCAGCTTCTGATTTCACTGCCATTCCTGGGAAAGAGGAATTACCAGCAGGTCTCAAAACAGCACGGCTTCCTCCTGGACATGAGAAAGCAGAAATCAGAAGTGGCACCGTTGGGCTGTGAGCCCTAAGCTCAGGATACAGACCTGGGTGCCCCCTGCTTGTCCCATTTCACAGAGGGAGACACAGAGACCCAGAGAGGGGTGACATGTCCAGTCACTGGACAGCGCTGGGCATGACCCTGTCCTCCTGCCTGGCCCTTGGAATCTCACCACGTTAAGGAGAGTCTGGATGGGGTTCCCCTCACTTACAGAAACCCCCAGCTGCACCCCACACCCCCCAGACTCTTTCTCACCTGCAGACCTTGGCTTGTGGGTCCCTGTCCAGCCTGCCTCCCAAGCCCTCTTACTGCAGGTTCTGCTTTCGCCCTCTTCACACCAGCCAGACTATGGCCCCCCAAGCCGGGAACTGGATTTCCTCTTCTCTGAGACCCAGGTCCTCAGCAAAGCCTTGCAGAGTTGAGTTGAAAAAGATGTTCCTTTCCCAGTGCTGAGCCCATACACTGGGGCTTGGCGGGAAAGCTGCCTCCGCTGTAACCCCCAACTTGGAGTCCTGTGCCCTGGTCACCACTGGAAGATCTGGGTGGTCCCTGAGCCAGGAAGAAGAACCCGGGAGTCCAGTTCAAGACCCTCAACGCTGGTGCCCCTGAGGTCTGGAGAAGCACGCCTTCTCTCTCTAGTCGGTCTCTTATGTATTTCCCATAATGGCCAGCAGGTGGCACTATGCCCCCAGCTCTGCCCATCTCAAGTCCCCTGCAAATTCTGCTCTGTCCTTGCTGGGGGCAGGGTCGCGGCCCAGGAAGAGCCCGTGAATCCTGCCAAGGCCCCTTTGTGGCTCTCTTCCTGCCTCTGCTGAGGGTTTCTGGCGGAGTGGGACGTCCGTCAGGGCTGGCAGAGCCAGGCCTTGAGAAGTTCGAGCACAAGTTTCATGGCAAGCCCCTTGCTCCCTGCTTTCCCGACAGGCCTCTCGCTGCCCAGGCTGTCTGTTCTCTGTGGGCCTGGGTGCTTCATTTCCCATCTATTTCTAGGTGCCGTGCACCGCGTGGGGGTGCAGCCCACATATCAACTCACGTGTTCGTCACACAACTGTGTGAAGCACCTACCCCTTGCACAGATGAGAACATCAACATCAGGAAAGGATACTCAGCTAGCAATGTGGGCCTGTAATCTGACGTCTGTCTGACCCACAGCAGTGTTCTTGCACTGGACTGTAGCCATGTCCTGGAGGAATTACTGATCTTAGGCAAATGGCTCCAAGTGTGGGAGCCTTCTTTCATCCTCCTTCACCCTAATCCTGGGGGACTTTGTCCATCTATGTGAGGTCCTAAGATGAGCGAGAAGGGACAGCCTCGAAGAGCAGCGTGGGTCTGCCTGGTCGGCGTGTCTTGTCCTGACCACCCCACGCCTGCTGCAGGTGCGAAGGGTGGGGGTCAGGTCAGGGAGCAGCCGTGGGAACCACAGGGCAGAAGGGGTGCTCTCCCAGCCCTCCGCTTTCTCACCTGCTTCTCCCCTCCTGTCCTTCTTGCTCTGCCCGACTGCATTCCTGTTCTCAGCTCTCTGGATGCCTCGCCCTCCCGACTCTCTGCCCCTTAGTTCTACCTTTTCCTCTGTCTCTGCTGTTCTGTCAGCTCGTCCTCTCCTTCCGTGTCTCTGTCTCTCTCCAGCAGAATCGGAGTTAAGTGACAAGAGAAAAATGATCCCCTCCTGCCAGGGTTATTAAAATCTTGTTCTACAATTGAGCCGCCAGAAGAGCCCCGGTTAATGACGGATGGTGAGGCCACAGCTTCCCCGCAGCTGGGAGTGAGGCGATAGGCTGGCTGCGGGATTACCACCAATTACTCTGGGGCGGAGAGGGAGCAGCTCTGCTTCTCTCCTTCACCTCACCTCCTTCCTGCTCCGGGGAGATAAAGTCTCACCCTTGGCAGGAAGGATGGAGCTGGGGTGGTGGGGGGATGGAGGAGGGGCCACATTCCCAGGAGCCAGCATGCCTCCCATCTGCGGGGATTATTTCAGTTTACCCAGGGCTTCCACATCTCACAGCAGCCTTGGAGGCAGGCAGAGCACGATTGTGAGACCTGTGGAGATCAGGGCTCAGAGACGTTACATAACTTGTCCAAGGTCACACAGCCAATAAGTGACAGAGCTGGTCCTTGAACTCTCAACTCCAGTCTCTTTTTTATTCATTACCCAACCTTGTCACCATGAACAGAACTTTGGAAAAGATTCTGTTTGGAGGAAAATGACAAACCTTGGTCAATCAGGCTTTGATTCTATTGGCATCACAGTAACAGTAAACAAGTATATTGCAGCAAATTGGATTCAAGTTAGACACTGGGAAGGACTTCCCAAAGAAGTGAGCATTAACAGAGACTCTTGGGTCTGTGGTTTTGCCTTCTTTGATGTTCCTTCAGAACAAGAGGGACCATCTTGGCAGTCTTTCTAAACTAGACGAGGTGCTGGAGTTATGGAAATCTGTCCAGTGGAGTTTGAGGGTCCTGGGAGTGGGATGTGCCAGAGTCAGGGAGACTTGACAGGGCAAATTGCAGAAGAGATAAGGAGGCCGTTTGTTGGACCCAGCGCTGGGGCCCAGAGTGTGTGGGTGGAGAAGCCAGGGCCCTTTGGGATGCAGATGCTGCCGTGTGGGTGGGGTCACATCTCCTGAAAATCTTCTGTGTGCAGCTCAGTAATTTTTCCAGCCTCTCTTTGGGTAGACAACTGAGGAATTATTGTCCCCATTTTGCAGATGAGGAAAATGAGTCGTGAAGAGGGAAATGGATTAGTTAAGTCCACACCCTAGTGAGAAGGCCACCAGGGCCTGCAATGGCCTCTGGCTGCAAGCCACCCTCCCGCCCAATCCCTCATTCTGCTCCAGCCTGACCACTTGTTCCCCAGAGAACCCCAGAGGTGGTGGGGAGAGGGGTGGGGGCTGATGCTGGCACTGCAATCTGTGTAGGACGAATGACTATCTCTTTCCCATCTGGATTCTATTATTTTTCAGTTTATCCTGGTCAAAAAGCACAAGATGAACGTCTGGAGGAAAAAAAATATAATCTTTGAGAAAATTGAAAATATATATCATTGTTTGGGGCTAGGGGCTCTGAGGCCCTGGTGCGGCTCTGAGGCCCTGGTGCCTGGTTCTCCCTGGCTGATTGCTCAGGCCTGGCTCAGCCCATCTTGGCAAATGAGGATGCCCCATGACACCCCCAGGGCATCTTCCTCCCACCTCTGGGGTCCATCTGGGACCTGGTCTCCTGGGTGTGTATGTGGGGGGTCCTCCCGGGGAGGGGATAAGAGGTGGAGCCACAGACCCTCAACTTCCTTCCCTGGGGACATGGACCTGTTCTGCATATTTCTGGGACTCCAGGTTATTCTCTGTAGGAGAAAGACCCACTTCAGTGTTAATAGCTAGGGTGTATTGAGCCTTTCCTATGTACCAGGTACTCTTCCAAACACTTTTCATGTATAATAAGTCCTCTACCTATGGACCTTCAAGTTGCAAGCTTTCAAAGATACAAACATCCATCTTCACGTGTGAGTCTCTCCTATTGCTGACAATCCTGCAGCCCCACCGTCTCACACCTCCAGTAACTCTTCTTGCCCGTTACCTTGATACCAGCCCCTGTATGCCAGCTGTTGTACTGAACTATTGTACTTTTCAAGATACTGTATTGTAAGATTAAGCGTTTCCTTTATTTTGCATGTGTGTGTGTTTTAATGTATTATTTGGGTGAAAAGTATTATAAACCTATTACAGTACGGTACTATATAGCTGTTTGTGTGAGATGGGTACCTAGTCTAAGTTTGTTGGACTTATGAACAAACTGGACTTACATGCTCTCAAAACTTGTTCACACGTAACTGTACTTTAAGGACTTTACATTTACTTTATTCCTCACACAGACCCATCTGATAGATGAGGAAGAGCAGGCCCAGAGAGCTGAAGAAACTTGTCCATGTGCACATACCTAGGAAATGGCAAAACACTCAAATCTACTTCTCAACCACTCAGCTACAAAGCCTCCTTTCATTGGAAAGAGAAAGGGAAGAAGGGAGAGGGAGGGCGATTGTGCACACGTAAGTATGTGAGTGATGATGACATTGGTCTTCGTGTCTAGCCATGGCTGTGTGTGTTCCTTGTGTACCTGGCTGCATCTGTTCACTCGTCTGTCCCTCCACCGCCCAGCTACCCGCTTACATCCCTCTCTCCTTTCACCTTCCCCCTCCCCACCCATCTATTATCTACTTATCCATCCATCCATCCACCATCCATCCATCCATTGTCTATGTATTCAGCTACTAGCTAACCTGCCATCCATCCATTCATTATCTATCATCTATCATCTATGACCTGTTTTTAAGTGTGGGGCCACATGTATGTTGGGATGCTCCCCAGTATGTCTGTGTACACTCGTGCACATCTGAATGTGTCTGATAGATGTCGGTATATATTCAGGTGTCCAGACATGTAATCCACTCCGCTCCCTCACTGGAGGCCCTTCCCCCACACCTGAAAAGCCACATGAGTGAGTGGAGGGAGGCCTAACATGCCTGCCCTGGGCCCTGGCTCCCCTTCCAGCCCCAGCGGAGAATTAATTAAATCCCTTTCCCAACAAGTGTGGTAATTAGTGCTAATGGTTGGCAGCTGAAGAGGTTCCTGCTGTGTGTGTTGGGGGGGGTGCGGTTGGGAATGGTGGGGTATGTGTGTGTGGAGCAGGGCCTTCTCAGCTCTGGAAACTCCTGGGGAGAGTACGTGGGCTTTGTAGCTCCTTGCTCTTCTCCCTCTTGATGTCTCCTGATTTGGGGGCTCCAGAGGGCTGGTGTGTGGTGTGCCTGCCTGCCTAGGAAGGGCCTGGTTGAGGTGCCCTTGGCCTGAGTTCTCTGGCCCTCTGGGGGTCTGAGTGTGACTGAGGGTGTGCTCCTGTGTGTGTGGGTGCTCATGTGCTCACAGGCCTGTGTACACCAAGGACACTAACTATGTGCTTTGCTGTGTGGGTGTAAGAGATCGTATACGAGAACAACCGTGACGTGACCAGTATACGTGGTGTGGTGCAACGGGGTGGTCCCGATTCACGGACCCTGGGTCTGTGTGTCCATGACATGTGCCTGATTGTGTGTTTTTGGGTGTCCTTTGTGTGTGCTCAGGACATGTGTGTGTGTGTTTGTGTGTGTGTGTGTGTGCGCGCGCACGTAAGGAAGAGCGAAGAGCAGCAGGGCAACCCACTTCCGGGCCTGACTGACACCCCTTGCAAATAAATGTGACAATGAAATATAGTCCTGGAATTGCTTTGGATGCTCCGTCAAGCAGGCGACGCGGAATAGGTGAAGTTGTAAAGTGTTCCCTGGGGAGCTGCAGCGGCTGAGTGACAGCCTGTCCCCGCTCCCGCCTCCCCACCCGGCTCTCCTCCTGTGGCCCTGGGCTGACGCCGCTCGCTCGTTCTGCCCACAGGCGGGGGCACCTGGGCCCCGTCTCCATTGCTGTTTGGAGGGTGAAGGGCAGAGTTGATCTGACAGGGCTTCCTTGCTTCGTATTTGTCTCGCCACTCTCTTCAGATTGGAGAGCCCCAGTAAAGGGTTCCCGTTGAATGTATGCAAAGTATGTCCAGTCCCTCATGCTGTGCCCTCAGTCTGGACTCCCTGAGGACAGACTGTGTCTCCCCCCTCAGACTCTGCTTCCTGAGGATAGGCCATGTCTGGGCTCCCTGAGGACAGACAGTGTCTCCCCCTCTCAGACTGGGCTCCCTGAGGACAGGGTCGTATCTCCCCCCTCAGATTGGGCTCCCTGAGGACAGGGCCATATCTCCTCCCTCAGACTGGCTCCCTGAGGACAGGCCATGTCTCCCCCCTCAGACTAGGCTCCCTGAGGACAGGGCCATATCTCCCCCCTCAGACTGGGCTCCCTGAGGACAGGGCCATATCTCTCCCCTCAGACTGGGCTCCCTGAGGACAGGGCCATATCTCTCCCCTCAGACTGGGCTCCCTGAGGACAGGGCCATATCTCCCCCCTCAGACTGGGCTCCCTGAGGACAGGGCCATATCTCCTCCCTCAGACTGGGCTCCCTGAGGACAGGGCCATATCTCCCCCTTCAGACTGGGCTCCCTGAAGACAGACCATGTCTTCCCTCTCAGACTGGGCTCCCTGAGGACAGACTGTGTCTCCCCCCTCAGACTGGGCTGCCTGAGAATAGGCCATATCTTCCCCCACCAGACTCTGCTTCCTGAGGACAGGCCATGTCTTCCCCCACGAGACTCTGCTTCCTGAGGACAGGCCATGTCTCCTCTCTCAGGCTCTGCTCCATGAGGATAGACCATGTCTTCCCCCTCAGACTCTGCTCCCTGAGGGCAGACCAAGTCTCTCCCCTCAGACTGGGCTCCCTGAGGACAGGCCATGTCTCCCCCTCAGAGTGGTCTTCTTGAGGTTGGCTACATCTCCCTCCTCAGGCTGAAGCTCCACAGTTCTTCCCCCCTTCCTTGAAGGTGGGGATATTTCCTCTTAGGCTGGAAGACCCCTCAAGAGAGTGTCAATATCCCTAGGCTTGCCCCAGGCCCCCTCCAGCTCGCATACTGTGAATACACATCTGGTTGAAGGCACAGTGGCGTGCATGAACCTTTGGAAGCTGAAGAGCAAAGTTTCATCTAGGCTTTCAAGACCTGGGTTCAAATCCCACATGTGGTGACTGACTAGCTGTGACCTCAGCTGGGTTCCCCTTCCTCTGAATCCCTCAGGGAAGATGGAGGGAGTAACAGCTTGCACAAAGCCAGGGTGCTGCTTGAGGCCCTGGCCAATGGGCTGTAGGAGATGCCTTTTTTTAAATCACAAAGAGGCCTTCTGCTCACCATACCCCATGCCCTCCTGGACAGCACCTTTTTTCTAATCCTTTAGCCTAAAGGGGGACCTTGTTAAAATTCACCCCCCAACACCAGTGGCCATGGGTATCTGGGTATGGGGAGGACCAGTGAGACAGGCGTGTGAAGCGCTTGCTCAGTGCCCGGCCCTGGGTGAGCGCCCACGGGGCAGCACCACCTCTGATGGGTGGCCGTGAGGGTCAGGGTGTGTCTGGGTCTGAAAGCTCTGTGGGGGACACTTTGGTCTCTTTGTTTCACCTCTTTATTTTGGGGGTGACCATCTGTCCTTAGAACCAGAGGTCATGTGTGTGTGTGTGTGTGTGTGTGTGTGTATGAGAGACAGAGAGAGACAGAGAGAGGAAGGCAGGAAGTGCTGGAAACAGAAGACAGGACTCAGTAGTGAGGGGACATGAGAGTTTGGCTGAGGGCACCAAGGGATTGACTGAAGGCCAGTTTGGAAGGTGAAAAGTTGGGCTAAGAGCCCCCAGGATGAAGAGCAAAAGTCATGGCTGCAAATCGTCTCTCCTGCCGGGGTCCAGATGTCTGGCTGAGATGGAGATGACACTGGGAGGAGGAGACATGGACGTTATGGTCCCTTCAGGCCTATAGAGCCTGTGCAGAACCCCTCATCCCCTCAAGCTGGGTCCTTTCCACCCCCTGCAGGGACATCACTGGGGTTACTGCCATTTCTGGGAACCTGCCTGCCTCTTTCTCTCTCTCTGCACAAGGGATTCCAGGCTGTAAGTAGAGGCCATGAACACGGAAAGACTCTTGCCCTCTGTCCAGTGTCTCCCCCAGGAAGTCCTAGGGAGGGCCGTGGCCAGATAAGGCCCTCTCTGCCCCTGACCTGTCCCTGGGGAGTGGGGCTCCTCCTGCTCAGAGGCAAGACCACAAACCCCATGAAGGCCTGGACTGTGGCTTCTTGAACCCTGGAGGCATTCTTAGCTCCTGGCACATAAATAGGTGCTCAGTATTCATTTCACAAACCTGTTTGGACACCAGGATCCATTCTCCCATAGGTGTAGCTTCAGTGCTGTACGTGGAGCGAGGAAAGCTAAGACTGAGACTGCTTGGCTGGTAGAATGTTCTGGGTGTTTTGTTGACAGGTGGAGTGTTCCACAGAGTGAGGGGCAGCAAAGTCCTGGGTGCAGCCTCACCCAGAGAGAAGGGTTTTGCACAGGCTTTAAAAGTCCCAAAAGCAAAAGCCATGACTTTTGCTCTTCATCCTGGAGGCTCTTAGCCCAACTTTTCACCTTCCAAACTGGCCTTCAGTTGACCCCTTGGTGCCCTCAGCCAAACTCGAAAATTCCCGAATTCTAGACCATGCAGCCCAGTCAGACAGAAAGGGACGTTTCTACCTTCCCCGACCGTGACCCAGGTTTACAAGTGGCAGTGATTAGACTCAGGTTGGAGGTCTCTGTGTTTAATAGAGGTGTGGATTCTGGCCAATTTAGTTGGGAAGAAAAAGAACAAAGGAATCCATGATGCAGATGTATGATCATTTAACACTGCTCTGACTTTCCCTGGGAGGAGAATGGGGGAAGGAGCCGGGTTTGAAAGTGTCTGCCCACGCCTAGGTTGCTACTAATTTCGTTTTAATATCAGGCTATTGTATAATGAATAATTACATCCCTCCACAGATCACGTGAGAGACGGGAGGTGTGCATGGGCAGGCAGAGTGCGGAGGGTCAGAAGCACATGGCTTGGCTCATCTGCTAACAGCAGGGTAGCCCTGCATAAGTTTCTGAGCCACTCCGTGCCTCAGTTTCCTCATCTGTAAGAAAAGAATGATACTTTCTTTGCAGGGTGTTGTGAGTTTGGAATGGAATTACGCACACTAAGTGCTAAGCACGCTAAGCCTGCTGTGGAGTAAAACAGTAACTATTACTATATTGGTTACGGTGTTTCCCTGGTGGCTCAGCGGTAAAGAATCCGCCTGCCAATGCAGGGGGTCAGGAAGATCCTCTGGAGAAGGAAACAATCCACTTCAATATTCTTGCCTGCAGATCCCATGGACAGAGGAACCTGGCGGGCTACAGTCCATGGGGTTGCAAAGAGTCATACATGACTGAGCACATGTGCGCACACGCACACACACACACACAATATTGTTACACTCAGGTGTTTGCATATGTGTGTGTGTATGTATGTGAAACAACACCCCT